ATGCTTTACGCCGCGGTTTGCGTTGCAGTCGGTTTAGGGTTTAGGGGTTTAGGGGTTTAGGGGTTTAGGGTTTAGGGTTTAGGGTTTAGGGATTAGGGGTTTAGGGGTTTAGGGGTTTAGGGGTTAGGGTTTAGGGTTAAGGTTGCGGTTTCATTTTTGTCGACCCAAAGACTGCTCTCAGTTCAGATTCGGAGTCTAGGTTCGGGATTTCCGGGGATTTGGTTCTGGAGGCTTTAAGTTGTGCTTAGAGGCTGAGTACCCTAGCCCTTATAGGAGGATTATAAGAGGCCCAAAAGGTTAAAGGTTACCTACTCAGCCACGAAGTGTGTCTGCTGTGCGGTCCCGGGTTTAGCTTGGAAGCTCACGTACAACGATTGCTGCAACAGCACCGGCAAATGCAACAACACCAGGAGCTGCAAAAACAGCACCTATAGCAGCAGTAGCAGCAGCGGCCGCAACGATGATGAGGACATTTGCAACAACTACTGTACTACGGCGACTCGAAACCTTCGCCATGAACACTTGGGAACAATCTGACAGCTGACAAGGCCAAAACCCTAACAAACTCTAACGCCCAAGATAGACTTCTAGCCTAGCCTCTGTTCTGATTCTTATGACGCAGATTTTTGTTAGGCTCAGCTGGGCTGCTTTAGATGAGACTTTTGGTCAGTTTACCGTCTTCAAAGTTGCCTTTAGGTTGCAGGGTATGATCATCCCTTTTAGGGCAATTGCTCTAATACGTGGCTCTGATAGATTCATAGCTGTCCATTGCCGTACTGGTTCGGCCCCCGTGCTCTCTCAGATCACCGTTCTACTTCAGCAGTCGGGTTTTGTTGAATTAGCGATAACCGAGGGTACAGAATATCTGATAGGATTTAATATATTCGTAGTAAATTAGACACAGTCCGACTAGAGCTTAGGTAAGCACCCAACCCCAGATTTCAGAATTCCCGTAAAGCCATTGAATGTAGCATTATAGCACTGAAAATTTGAATGATTAAGATTGATTATGATTCTGTTTTTAAAGTCATTGAGACCTAAGAGTTGGTTGGCATTGTGTGGATTCACAGCTAGGGTTTGGGTGTGAGTGTAGAGGGTTTCTTTTAGAGTGGGCAAGAGGTTCAGTTTAGGTTTAGTTGTTCGGATTGGCTAATTAATCGCAGCTGTTTGAAGTATCATCATTGAATGCAATTGAACATCGCACTGGCACTAGTTAGTAGGGCACTGCAAAGAAAAAACAGTTGGCCATTGCAGAGTGCTTAAAAATATATAATACTAGTAACAATAGACCTCCTGTGCGCCATCGGAGCAGCGAGCTGGGGAAGATGGTTGTTGGGAAGATCCAGAGGACAGGGGTTTTGCCAGGGTTGTAAGTCCTGTGGTTCAGATCCAGCATTGCCTTGCCCAACTTCTGATGTGGAGCGGCCCTTGCCGCCCACGACAAGCCTTTGCAGACTTGCGGCGGGGCCGCAGTCGGCTCCGATTCCCGGAAAGGTTGTGGAATTGCGGCTGTGCCGCATTCAAAGTGTTTTGCGGCTTAGTCGCAGACAAGTTGCATAGCGGCTCTGCCGCATGCAAAGTGCATAGCGGCTCTGCCGCATGCAAAGTGCATAGCGGCTCTGCCGCATGCAAGGTTCATGGCGGCTGTGCCGCATGCGAGGGGCATAGCGGCTGTGCCGCATCCAAGGTGCATAGCGGCAGTGCCGCATGCAGTTTGCATTGAGGCTGGGCCGCATAGCAGGGTTAGGGTTGGAAGGGCTAGCGGAATTCCGCAGTCGGCTGTGAATGAAAGGGTCTTTCGAACTTTGTGGGATTCCGATAATTGTGGTTTTCTTGTCTGCTGCCTGTGGATACGAGGAGGAACGCCAGCCAGTCCATCGAGTCGGAGGGCAGCGGCGAAGGCGAGTTCCCTGAGGCCTGGCCTTCTTCTGAGGGAAGCGAGGGCTGCCGAGGTGTCTCTTGTCATTTGGCTTCTGTTTAGGATTGATTCTATTGTAAAGCAATCACTAGTGCAGGGCTTTCCCCAGGCCATGCCGGTTCCGGAGACGTTTCCGGAGCCATTTGGCGGTTGCGGTCTTCTAGATACTCGTACAAATTAGCATTGGAAAGCTATTGCTCGAGCATTTTCCTACGATTGCCAGTGGGGCCGGTTCCCTGGGCCGGCTTCCGGCTCGCTTTGTTCTAGTACATACTAGTACTGGGGCCGGTTCCCTGGGCTGCCTTCCGGTTCCTGTTCTGAGAGTACAAATTAGTACTGTGGCCGGTTTCCTGGGCCGGCTACCGGTTCCTGTCCTTGTAGTACAAACTAGTTCTGGGGCCGGTTCTCTGGGGTTCCGGCCGGGCGCCTTCCGGTTCCTGTTCTGCTAGTACAAAGTAGTACTGTGGCCAGTTCCCTGGCCATCCGTTCCTGTCGTTGTAGTACAAACCAGTACTGGAGCCGGTTCCCTGGCCGGCTTCCGGCATGTCCTTGTAGTACAAAATAGTTCTGGGGCCGGTTCCCTGGAGTTGCGGCGCCGGGCGCCTTCCGGTTCCTGTTCTTCTAGTACAAAGTAGTACTGTGGCCAGCTCCCTGGGCCGGCTTCCCGTTCCTGTCCTTGTAGTACAAAGTAGTACTGGAGCCGGTTCCCTGGGCCGGCTTCCGGTTCCTGTCCTTGTAGTACAAACTAGTACTGGGGCAGGTTCCCTGGGTTTCAGGTTCCTGTTTTTATAGTACAAAGTAGTACTGGGGCTGGTTCCCGAAGCCTTCCGCCCAGCGACCGTTCTGCTTCGGGAGTGAGTTCTGCCTCGAAGAGAGAAAACCCAAGGCTGCCTCCCCGACACAAGACCGTTCTGCTTCGGCAACCAGCCGGAGGCTGCAAAACACCGTTCTGCATCAAGAAAAAAAACGGTTTGGTGCCGCCACGGGGAAACCGCAGAGACGCCGAAGCAGAACGATGATCGGCAAAAATGCCTAAACACGGGAAATTGCAGATGCTCCAAGGAAAACGATGTATGTCACCGTTCCACTTCGACAACGTTCCACCTCAGAAATGAGTTCTGCTTCGGCAAAACTACAAAATCCTCGTGCCACCGCGAAACCAAAAAAAAACCGCGAAGCAGAATGGAAGCACCGAAGTGGAACGATGTTTTGCCGTGGCAGGTAGTGGTCCATGGAAGCATGGCTGGTGAGTAGAATAGAGGAGAGCTGCAGGACACCGTTCTGCTTCAGAAGAACGTTCTGCATCAGTGAGTGACCAGTGGGATCCTGTGGTTGCTGTCCCACCAGGATACAGGACGTCGACGAAAAGAGGCTTTTTCGACAGAAGTTCGCCGCAAAGGTCCAGTTCCTGGATAGCAAGCTACGGCTTGGAGAAGATGTCGGTTCCTTAGAGGCAGCCAGACTGCCCTGGGGTGACTGGCAGGCAGGGATTAGGATCCGATGGCACCTGGTTCCTTGCCGTTTCTCTACATCTGCCGTACCTGTGCTTGGTACAGGCTCTTCTCGAGAAGCACCGAAGCGGTGCAGCTGCTGCTGGCCTGCCTTTGAGACCCGAGTTGCCCTCGGAGACTGCGCCCGGCGACGCCCTCGTGCTCTTTGAGGAAAGCGCCGAGGATGGCCCTGGAAGCTCACCGCCGCAGAACGACAAAGTGCCGTACACTCTGAACGAAGTGCTCTACT